GCCTGCCCGCAAGGCTCCTCCCCGGTGGAGTTTGACTCCAACGAATGTGACGCAGGTAAATAACAACAACTGCAGTGCATGTACTGTCTGCACCCTCACATAAGCTGGGGTTTCGCATCAATACATCCATCCTCCACTCGTGCTTGGCTGCTCCTGTGCGGTTTTGAGAGACTGTGCTGTGATATTGTTTCATTGTTGTTGACTCTCTGGTACGCCTGGCTTTTGCTCCTGCAGCCATTGAGGCTCCTGTTGCAATGCCGCTTGCATGTAGATGCATGAATGGTGGAACCTGCTACACTGATGAAGGGGGCCTGCCCAAGTGCAAGTGAGTTCATGTGCCACGGCCATTTTTACCCATCGCTGTCAGTGATACCTCATATCTTTGGAATTTTCCAGCACACTTTGGGTTGTTTTACCAGTGAGGTTTTCCTGCGGCTAAAGATTGTTATCGCATTTGATCATGATTCTGTGCAGATGTCCTTATGGCTATGTGGGCAGCTACTGTGAGATGGGAAAGTCGAGGGGTGCCCCAGCAGGAACAGGTATGGTCGTTTACTTATAAGCTAACTAACATTTTTTAATGTCTTAGTATTGAAACTAGACCCAGTGTTATTGTTAGCCAGTAGCAGCTATTTGCCACTATATTGTTATTGGCATTAGAAAGAAGAAATATTTAAAGAAGAGACGGGACCTTTCAATTTCCTTAGGGACTAATAAAGTATTCTGATTCTGATTTAACTACGTTACGAGTGTTGACGTAGTATAGTTTGTCCACCAGAGGGCACTCTGCGACTTTTGTCGCCAACTCACTGTTTGAAAAGCGACAAGCAACAATCAGCTGATCTGAGCAAATCGCAAAGAGTAATCTGCGACTTGTTGAGAGATGAAAAGAAGTTTATTTATAAACTGCATTGTCATATTATCTTAGTAAGGGCTCATAAATAACTACACATAAATGTTTCACACAGAAAAATATTGGCTGCTTTTTAAATCACCAAATATCAGCATCAGTCCTGTATCCTATATCCTATATCAGTCAAGCTCTACTTAAAGCAATAAATGTGAAGACGTCACATTTATTTACTGCTTATTTGCCTAAAATTTTAAGGTGGGAACATTCTGGCTCAGCATTTGCAGAATTTGTTGAGTGGATGAAATCTCAGAGTTTTTAATAGCTAGCTAATTAACACATTAGTTTGACCAATGTTTAACATAAACTAACAGGTCTGCTAAAAGTCACAAACACTAATGGGCTTGTCAGCAAAATGTTATTAGTCACGTTAATGATCTGCATCTCACTGCGAATGTCCTGTATCATGAATCTGCATATTTACCCCCTTTTTCCTTTAGCTGTAGCTGTTTTATTGGCAGTCATTATCATCCTGATTACTGGAGGTTTGGCTGTTGGAGTTTTCCTCAACTACAAACGAACAGGCTCTTTCATCCCCTCCATGCCCAAACTACCCAGGTTTCTACCACTTCTTTTCGGTTCAGTTTTTTTCAGTTAAAACTGTGATGGAGCTCACGGTATAGATTTCAGACCAAAGTTCAGGTGTTTGTGTTTTGTTTTTGTTCAGCCTCAGCAGCTTGGTGAAATCCGCTGACACTGGGAATGGGGTGACGTTTCGGTCGGGTGATAATGTGGATCTCGGACCCTCACACGTTGGAGTGTCATTCATTGACACAGGCATGCAGATGGTGAGTCTTGGATAAATGCATACAAGCAGCTAATCATTTCCAGGATCACTAAAAGTACAAAATGAGCGTTTTTGAACATGTTCGCGTACAACTTCAAGAAGTGCTTGTTTGTGAGCTTAACAAATATTTAAAAGTTCAGTAATGACTATATCAACAATCTCACCATTATAATATCCCCATAGGATGATCATTTTGCCATGGAGCCTGGGAGGCAGCCGATTACATTTGAGAACCCACTGTATGCCACTGGTCACGTGTCTGGGGACCCTGCTGTTATTCATGCCACGCAGGTACTCACAAATGAATATCTTTTGCACTTTACAGGTTAGAGCAGGGACTTTCAGACCTGCACAGCTTGTAGAAATTAATTAAAGAAAACGAATAAGAATTGAAATTGGCTCTAAAATCATTTTGACTAACAACCAAGTAAAATAATAAATAAAAAAGAAAGAGGTTCACAAATTAACAATAGAATAGAAGCAGATAATATACTTACATCCCACCACATTAAGCCTTGACCCTCTGAGGTTAGTATCTCCTTATGACTATTATACAAAGTGTATACTATACATTTATTATGAAATAGAAATGAACAATATAAAGAGGAACTACTGGAGATCCTGTGCTGCCAAAATAAGACTAATCTGGTGCCTCTATTATGTTACACAAAGGAGGAAAAAACAAACCACAAAGACATCGCTGTGTATTTTTTTAGATTGTGTTTTATGAACCTTTAATTAATCTGATTTATAATCATAAACTGCTACATTTTTGCTTTAAAACAGGTGACTGTGAATGTGAGCGGTGATCAGCGGGAGAACAACTTTGTAAACCCGACTTACCGTGGAGACCCGAGCGTAGGCGTGGTAAACACGTCTACCGTCAGCACCCAACCTGTCCATGTGAATATCATACGTGCACAAAGTCAAAAGAAATCTACTTTAAATACTTTTAAAGCACCCGTGCATGGAGCCACCTCAGTGACTGTGTTTTGTTTGCAGGAGTCAAAGTGGAGCTTATTCAAACGAAAATTAAAGCCAAGCACCACATTTGAAAACCCTTCATATTCAGAGGTATGTCCCGCCATTTTCTAAGATATCAGAAATTAAACAGAAAGTTGGGGTGGGGAGGGGCTTCTCTTTTTTACCGTCTGTGCTGTTTTACAGATGAGTGATGAAAAGCCCGTAGGAAGCAGCGGGGACTCTTCTGCCCCTGAGCCATCTCCGTTTGCCCCCCCTGCCAAACCTCAGAAGAGGGATCGCCCCAACACCTTCTCGCCTACCGAGGACAGCTTCAAAGACACAGCCAACCTCGTTAAAGAGGACAGTGATGTATAACCCCTCTCTCGCGGACGGGAATCGAAAAATGAAACACACTTTGCACAGAATTTATTTTTTTATGCAGCCTGTGTACAAAACTCAAATCGTTTTAGGAGAGAAGTACATCTCTATAGAACAAAGAAAAACGTCTTCCGTGACTATGCCTTCTGACATTTCTTATGCCAATTTTGTGTTAATGTTTTTTGTTTCTTTATCCTGATGTACGATATGTATATCTTTGCACTGAAGCTGCTGATAGAAATGTTAATAAATATGTTGTATATTTGTAAATTTGGACAGTAAGATTTTTTTTCAGAAATATTCTGGAATAGATCCTAAATAGTTCGGCGTGAAGAAAATAACACATATAAAAGGCGAGCTGCATTGTGAATGTACAAAATGATCAAAGGAAATTGGAGAAATGCGATGGGTAATAATATCTGTTTCACCACTGAATATATACCTCATTTCACGGCTTAATTGAAGCAAGACAGATTCGATTTTATATCTCTTCAGTATGTGCTCCAATATAAACAGATGCATAGGCTTAAATACGTGTGCAAAGCATACTTTTATCCTTCTTAATCAAACTCATTTTTACCTTACATCACCTTTGCGACTTTTGAATTGATACGATTGTTTTTTTAGTGATATTACTGAAATGAATAATGGCCAAATTAGTTTGGAACAGTACTTGAATGTGCCCAAGTCTATTGCGTGGATATGTAGTTGATCATCTTAAAGAGCAATATACAACCCAAGAATACAGATGTAGACATTTTCTAATAAGTTCTTTACAGATTGATCTATGTTGTATCATAATGAGGACAAATAAAAAATGTTATCTGTGAGGAAATGTCCAAATGGATTCAATTTCTGCTGCTGAGACGTGCATGAATAAATTTCTTATTTTGTAACGTGGTCTCTTTTTCTTCACTTTATTGTTACGGTCCATCTATTTTCTAGATCTTAGGGAGGTCTGGGGGCTACGCCTTGGACACCACACAAATGCATAGAGGAAGACAAAGATTTAGGGTCATGTTCATCCATGTTTGCCCCTTTCTGCCTTGAGAGCTGCCTTAATTCTTCACAGCACAGATTCAGCAAGATGCTGGAAACATTCCTCAGAGATTTTGGTTCTTATTGACATGATAGCATCACACAGTTGCTGCAGATTTGTCAGTTGCACATTAATGGTGTGAATCTCCCCTTCCACAACAACCTAAATGAGTTAGTGTTGTCCTGCTGGAAGTTGCCACCATAGGCTGTGGTGTTTAAACAATTTCAAATATATGAGCTTAAATATGCGTGCAAATATATTTTCTTGGCACACTTTAGGTCCTTTAGATCCACACCATTACACCTCCACCATGAAACACTGATACAAGACAGGACGGATCCACGATTTCATATTAATTATGTCGTATTCTGACCCGATTAACTGAATGTCACAGCAGAAATCAAGACTCAACAGGCCAGTCTTGTATTGTTTAATTTTGGTGAGCCCGTGCACATTGTAACCTTAGCTTCCTCTTCTTAGTCGATGGAAACGGGACCCGGTGGGGTCATCTGCTGCTCTAGCTCATCTCCTTCAGTGTTTGATGTGTTGTGTGTTCAGAGATGCTCTTCTGTATATCTTGGTTTTAACAAGTGGTTATTTGAGCTACTGTTTTATCTTTTTTTGAATCATCTTCTCTAACCCCTAGAGATGGTGTGTGGGAAAATCTCAATCAGCTTTAGCTTAGGGTGAACATGGTCAACATATACACAGGAGAGAAGTAATGACACAGTCATACAAACTTTTACAGTGATGGTAAAGGCTGTCTGCTATTTACATCTTTTGTTTAGGAGAAGGGAGAATCACATTGACTATAAAGTCTGCAATGAATGAAGGGAGGTAGGACAAAGGGATCCAGAAAAGCTTTGCGTCCCAGCCTGCTGCGTAACGTGTGCGTGGGAAGCGAGCGGTCAGCGCGTGCTCCATGCACCTCGTCACCTTAGAGATATCCGGACTGCACAAGAGTCCCATGGAGAAGGTCTGAGCTTTCACATCTGAGAGATCAATAATCAGATAAAAGTGATCTTACAGAGCATCTGTTTAGCTGATCTGTAGCTGATTTAAACAAAGTGCACTTTTACTCACACTCATCAAAGTATGTAGCTCCATATGAGTCTTTCACATCTTGAGGGAGGCGAGACCACAGCCTCCTCAGGTTAGCGTCAATAAGATCAATGCGGGTCACGTTAGTCTTGAAGAAACCGGGCTCGATGATGCTCACATTAATACCAAAGTGCTGCATGTCCCTCCTGGTCATACAAAGCAGACAACGTGTCTCTTTAAAGCAAGTGAAAGAATTTTACTGAGCACTTCTCCATCAGTACTATGCTGCGGCATAGTTAATATGTGAGTATTTTCAATCCTTTGATACTTTCATTAGACTGTGGTAGATGTCATTTCTGCTTTATTATATTTTTATGTGTATTTTTATGTGTATGTATTTTTTTTTTATAGGCAGAGGTCAATGGGTCCATTTTTGGACAAAAGGTCCATTAACAGATAACAAATATCAAATATTTGTTATTTGAAAATAGGCATGAATTCAAAAGCTTTGGAAGTGTTTCTTAAAGCCTGGTTCTGCTGGAGGTTTCTTCCTGTTAAAAATGAGTTTCTCCTTCCCTCATAGGGGGCTTCTTATTGTTTGCGTTTTCTCTGTATTTTGGGGGATTATGAAGTGCATTGAGATGATTTGATATTATATAAATAAAACTGAATAAAAGTGAATTGAAGATTTCAGCTCTTTCAACTACTGCTAACATCGCTTTATAGTAGTCTCCTGATCTCCTCTTAAAAGATGCGTAACTAACTGTAGTGTGGAGTTACCAAAGCATCAGGACACTCACATTATTTTATTGGTCCAATGTCACCAAAACCATCTTGCCTACCCAAGTGTTAATCCTTTTTTTTTTTTTAATTATGACTTAAAAAACCCCACCTCAGCAGTATGTTTTTAACCACATGTTCATACCTGAGGCTGTCAGAAAAGGCTTCCACTCCCCATTTGGACAGGCAGTATCCTCCACCAGTGAGAGACAGTCGTCCCAGAATACTGGCTACATTCACCACTCTGCCCCGGGCTTTCTTTAAGAGAGGCAGAAACTGGAGGGTTACGTCAATCACTCCTAACAGATTCACATCCAAAACCTTTGTGAAATCCTCTAACTTCATCCATTCTGATGGGCCGATGGGTGTCGATCTTCCTGCATTATTCACCAGACCCCACAGACCTGCAGGATACACAATAACGACCACCAGAAAACAGCTCATGACCATCATCTTTTAAATCTTTTGCTTTGTAATCTTGACAGATTAAACTGCTTACAGCCCATGCAGATGCTTCTCTGCATCTCCAGATGTCAAACACTGACCTGCTGTGCAAGGTTTTAGTACAAGTTGATCAATCTGCTATCTGTTCAACCCTAGAGAAGAGTATGAGATGCTCCACATACACAGGTTGGCCAAATTTTGGTTTGTATCCTTTTCTGTAGGCATTTTGTAAGTATGGCATGAAACTTCCTTGTGTGTGTGCTAATATGCATCTGAATGTTGGATGAAGCCAGGTCTATAATTCCTATTTGCTGGAGTAGACTCATTGCAGAGATGACTTTGGACATCTTTTGCATACAAAATAGTATTTTTTCCCAACTTATGTAAAATTTGTTTGGTTCTTGTGGAAAATCAGATGTTTTTGCCCCCTGGGTTTTGAAAAATTTGAAAATCTATGTGGTGAAAATCTGTCATTGACACACTGAACATCTGAGAAGCAGGTGAAAACAGACATATGGGTTCTTTTCTAATGATCTATAAGATAAAAAGGTTAGGAGCCACTTACATAGAGCATGGGCCTGACAAACTGATCTATGGCATTTGTTTTACACATTTGCCACCTTTATTTTTTTCAGTAAAAATCTTTTTCATAGATAAAATCAAATGATGGAATTACTTTTTGCACATCAGTAATAACATTTGTTTTCAGCACATGCTGTCCCACAGTTGGTAGTCAGATCTCAGTCTACAGTCTTGATTTATGTCAGAAGCAGGTTTCTCCCTCCCGTTTAAAAGGCAAGATGTGTTACATGTATCAGTAGGAGGATGATGGGTTGATGACGGGATGGACCAGCTTGGCTTTATCTCTCCCAGTGCTTCACTCTGACTGGCACCCTATCAGTGTGCACCCCCTGCTGTCCGCCCGGCTCACCTCGCTCTCCGACCTCTCTGCTCACAGACTCCACCGCCTTCCTGATGCTCGCGCTGTCCGTAACATCCAGCAGGAAGGCCTTCAGTCTGGGGGAGGCAGTCGCTGCCAAGTCTGCGGCACCTTTCTCTGTGAGGCAGGCGGCCATGACTTGGAAACCTTTTCGGTCCAGCTGTTTGGCCAGAAGATTCCCAAAGCCGCTGTCACAGCCTGTGATGAGCACATGTTTCTGGCTGAAACCATCAACCTTGTAGGAATCTCTGATGTACCAGCGGACGGCAGCGAGCGTGGCCAGAAGGAAAACACAGGTTAGGGCCAGGTGTGACAGGATTACCTAAGACACAAAAATTACAACTAAAATGAAAGACTTCACACATTCATAATGCCATCCTCTACTTTATTTTATTCTCTGGATAAAGTAATTAATTTATACAAAAACAGAGAAATTGTCTTACCCCTGCCAAATAAGCTGCTAGATTGTCTGTAAATACCTGACGGGAGAAACATTCAAAACATTTAAGCAGCAGTAATAAAACATGAATTATACACACGGCCTCTTAATGTTTGTTTAGCCTCGTTTTATTTTTCATAAAGCAGAGCATCACATGAAAGTTCTGGACATCGAAGAATAAAGCAATTTAACACTTAATAAATGAAAGATTTAAAACTTGTCTCAGTGTTAAAGCCTGTAACCAGATTATCAAACCAGGGCGCCACTGCTATTATTTAGCTTCAGCTCCCCCTTGTGGCTCAACTGGTTATGGCAGAATTACATAGCTTTTAAAGCCATTCACAACTAAGTGAGCCCTTAACCCAGTATTGAGTAGAACAGACTGAGATCTAAGAAAATGTAGCCACACCTGATTAATATGTCCCCAAATGAAGTTCAGTTCACCCAAACAGAAAATTGGCATCTACCCTCACAGGTCTGAAAGCTGGAAGGTTAAACTGAGTACATTTAATCAGTATGTCTTGATGCATTCTCAATCATCCAGGTAAGTAAATCTCCAAAA